TAATAGATGCCGGAAGTAATAAGAATTCGACAAGGAGACAGCTTTAATTCAATTCTTTTCAACTTCATAAAAGATGAAATAAGGTTCAATAAGACAAGTGAAAGAAATTGATGGAGGATTCAAAATGGACAGAAAACTGGGAAAATAATATGCTATGCCGATCATGTTATCCTAATGGCTAAAACGAACTACAGCGCCTACTTTAGGTTCGCCAGGGCTATCAAAAAGCTCAATATGTAAATCTTGGTTGAGAAGATGATACTCAAGGGATCTATTCGTTATAAGCTGGTAGTTAGTCACACAAGAGCGTCGGTTAAATTGCTTCAAGAAAAATTATTAAGTGACGCTACATTCGTTGAAGAGTAGGGAAGACTACGCTTTGTGTTAAAGACGCCAATATTATTTTCCATTATGATAAGAATTGATTTCCAAAATAAGTGTGCTGCATGCTGAACGTTTCGAGATAGTGTTCTTGTGTATTCACAATAAAGAAAATGACTTATAAAGCTGTTGCTAAATACATGCATAAGTCAGAAGATTTCGTATGGAAGTGAGTGATATGATATAAAGAACAAAAAAAGTCTATGATTTTCCCGATAAACGAAAAATGCGATGAATATCGAAAAAAGAAGATAAAATTATTTTAAAGTTGTTTTCAGTAAAAATCTCTGTTGACATTGCGCCAAGAACAAAATTTATTGGCCAAAAAGGGAGTGAATATTAATATAATTGAACATTGTTGGCGATCTTGCTGCGTGCAGGAATTTGTAGTGGCACGGCCATGCGATCACCGTCCAAGTGTTTCTCTATTGCTTCGAGGGCACTTAGTCGAGAAAAATGAGATTTTTCCCTGCTTTCCAAACTTTATTTGAACAGATCCTCAGAACCTCAGATGCGGGCGAATGTGTTTTACAGTAGATGCGGAAAGGGTCTCAACGATGCAGTAGCGCGATAAAAGTCTTTAGCACGAGGCAAGACGCGTCTCTGAACTAATGCGAATAACGAAAATGAGAAAGGGTATACGAGAGGAATGCGAAATTCAAGATATGATGAGATTCATGAGATCGAGAAGACGTCATTGGAGAAATTATGTGGACAGGATAGGGCTTGATTAATAAAATAAGCAAGATTGGAGACTCCTACTTCTTAGTCGACCCCAAGGAAGACCGCTCAAAAAATGGTACGAGAACATCTATTTAGTAGAAAGGCAAGAGAGCAGAAGTAATAATAACCTTAATCCTAATAGAAGAAGAAAAAGAAGGAGGAGAAGGAGAAGGAAGAGGGGAAAGAGAAGGAGGAGAAGGAGGAAGAGGAGGAGGAGAAAAAGGAGAAGAAGAAGGAAAAAAAAGGAGAAGAAAGAGGAAGAAAAGAAAAAGAAGAAGGAGAAGAAGAAAAAGAAGAAGAACTGATTATCGCGCAATTATTTACTCTCACTTCCGTACTTATATTCAAAATTATATTTGAAAATGAACTTTATTGTAGTGTTTTGAAAGCTCTTGAGATTAACTATTGGATTCTGGAATGAAAAATAGGATGTTCCATTTTAAAAAAAATCGATGTGATCTTGATCTGACCTTGCCAATGCCAGCCAAAATCAATCAGATGTGATCAAAAAATAGATCTTTTTAAATCTTTTTATCTGAATCATTTTTTTCAAAAATACTTTATTTTTTCAAGATATTTCAATCTGGGACTTTTTTTTTATTCTGTATATTAAATTAATATATTTTGTTTTACAATATTTTGTTTAAAATATATATGTATATAAGTTTCATGTTATTTAGTCACTTATTTTTTTTGTATTTTAATCATTCCTATTACATATTGAATTATTAGGTGTACAACTTTGCTTCCGCCGTTTTCCTATAGATGGCTTTAGCGGTAAGTGGTGGTCGAAATAAATAGATCATAGACGTCATACAATAAACTTCGGCATCTGTCAACATAACCCCATAGAAACATTAGTCGATTTGTGTCTGCATCATAAAGTTATTCTCGATTGAAAATGTCAGTTTACGAGCCAAATTCTCGTCATTTGCGGGAGGTTTTAATTTTTTCAATATGAAGAAATTTATCTGCGGCTGAGGCTCATCGAATGCTCTCAAATACTTATGGTGAGGCCGCTATTAGTGAAAGAACGTGTCGTGAGTGGTTTCAACGCTTCAAGAACGGTGATTTTGACGTCCAAGGTCATGCTCTGTATTTGGTGGGACCAGCTCGGCGTAGTGTATTATGAACTGTTAAAACCGACTGAAACAATCACAGGCGATCGGTATCGAACGCAATTGATGCGTTTGAGCCGAGCATTGAAAGACAAACGGCCGCAATAAAACGAGAGACACGATAAAGTGATTTTGCAGTATGACAATGCTCGATCCCATGTTGCGAAAGTGGTCAAGACATACTTGGAAACGTTGAAATGGGAAGTCCTACCCCACCCGTATTCTCCAGACGTTGCTCCCTCTGACTATCACTTGTTTCGATCAATGGCATGGCTGACCAGCACTTCCGGTCTTATGAAGAAGTAAAAAATTGGATCGATTCGTGGATAGCCTCAAAAGATGACCAGTTTTTTCGACGCGGGATTCGTACGCTACCCGAAAGATGGGAGAAAGTAGTGGCCAACGATGGACAATACTTTGAATCATAAATGTATAACCAGTTTTTTACAATAAAGCCTCGAATTTCGGAAAAAAAACGGCGGAAGTAAAGTTGTAGCATAATGTCGTTACAGAAATATATAATTTATAACGATGTTATGATAACACAATATATAACAAAAATTATTAAAACACGAAAATGTTCGTATTTTAAGTATAAAGTTAAATAGAATAAGGATTTATTTTCTCATCTCTGTATGATTTTACCTCTAACTTATGCTCGCGTGTTACCAAATATTATATAATATATATAAAATATGTTTTTTGAACATTTTTTTAGTTATTAATTTAAAAAAAAAATTGCCTTAATTTAAAGTAAAAACTATTTACCGATTGTCATCATTGTATTTCAAATTTTAAGTGATTAATAAAGAAAGTGTAAAATTTTAAATTTTAACTTTATACTTTTACACTTTTAGATTTTATGCAAAGAAACAGAAAAATTGTATTTAAAATATTTTTGTTACAAACGTAAGCGTAATTTAGAAGTTACAAACATTAAAACAATAATTGAGTTGGTACCTATAAGGGATTATTTTTTTATTTAATTTATATTTTATCAAATACATTCAATTGTTAAACGTTTTTATTTAAATCTGAATTTTAATTTATTTAAAATAAATTATAATAACCTTAATAGAAATAAATGCAAAATATATAAATTGTGTATGAAATTAAAACAGCGATTTGAGCAATATTTTGATGTAAACTTGGGTGTTATCGTAGTAACATCTCATGGCGCCGTTGCACCGACAAACTGCCCAAATAATTTTGCGCGCTGTCTGTCTGTGATCTCAAGATACGCCAAGAACTTTGCGACATTCTGTGGTTTCACCGCCGTTCACACAGGTCATAGAAGCTAACCTCTCGTCGTAATTTGCATAAAATTGTTTCTAATTAGTGCTATAATGATCTAATTAGAATATATATACATACATACATATGCACTCACATGTATGTACAAGAAAATCAATTCAAAATATTACAAATAGGAAGATTAAACATACTTATATGAGCGTGTGAATTTTTATACATTGAATTAAGAGGATAAAAAAAATTTCATGTCCCATATACTATACATCATTATATATATATATATATGTGTGTATGTGTGTGTGTGTGTGTATGTACATATAATAAAAAATATATTATTTTTTAAAAAATATATTAAAATATATTATTTTTTTATTATTATTATTTAATAAAATTATTTTAACTTCTATTATTTTAACTTCTTCATAATGTAAATACAGTGTTGACAGATAATGTATTCATAGAAATGCAATTAATGTGACCTGTGCACGCTAAATTTTTTTTTTTTACTGCGATCTTGTTACGTCCAAGACTTAGGAGTTTTTATTTTAAAGAGGTTTTCAGAGTGAGGAGGAAATCACTGAAGAACGTAATTAAAACCTTTCTTCTATGATTAACGTTTTGGCATGCTTGTTACAAGTCAAATGCACTTGTGTAAAGTCCTAAATATGGGTCAGTACACCATATGGCATATTATAACGTCATCTGAGACAGTTCAAACCTTTAAAGATTTTGGTTAAAAAACTGAACACACGCACGCACGCATGCACGCATGCACGCACATGAGCAGGGAGCAGATCTGTGCAATCTTATTCCAAGTTAAAGAAGTTGTCTTATATGCGCCGAAATGTTTATTATTATGTAAAATATGTTTATATTCATATTTATTTATATTTTTAATATAATATAATATATATAATATATATATAATAATTATATAAATTTGTACATTTCATTTAGATAAAATTTTTAAATACCTCATCATTGCATTAATATAATATTTTAAATATTATTTTAAACTCAGAGTTATTTCATATTGGTCAATGTGTGTTTTTTTAAGCCTTTGCGACTGTGCTTTTTAAAGTTTACTCTGTAAGACAACGTTGATGACCACTAAGCATTGTAATATAATATATCTATATTTTGTAATATATCACATTTATATACTGAGTAATTGTACCTACGTTTTCAGTTCTTACAATCATCCACAACGAATTTGTGGTATATTCCCAACGAATTTGATTTATTATTATAATTTCTAGTCAAATCATATCAAGATTTTGTCATTTAAATGAGTAGTTGATTTTTAAATTGTGTTATTCAGAATGATCTGATTGGGATCGAAACATTTATTACAATAAACTTTGTTTTTTAATAACACGCATTAAGACCTTGACTCGCTTTATTCTTGTTATATTAATTTTGTAAATTATTTGAACCTTAGTTTTTATATTATTTATAATATATAAGTTTAAGGCGAAAGAATAAGAAATAATAATATTAAATATAATACGTATTACTACTTACCGCATCGGTTTAAACAATGCCTGCATGTTGTCGCCATAATCAATAACTAATTTTAATTGTGTACCACCGTCTTTTTGAACTATAACAAAAAATCATTTCATAAATCTTTAGATAACACTTTTTGTAAGCGTATTTTGTTAGCTAACAATTATTATTTTATACCATTTAGTGCAAAATGAAAATTGATGTGAAACTATAACATTAATGATAATACATTTCTAAAATGTATATTGATTATATCAAATATCAAATATATATTATAATTAATATGATTGTACTACAGTACGTATATATAATTAATTATATAAGGTGAATATTTTAATAAATTATCCTAAATACTTCAATTATATTTTATCTTTTCTTAAAATATTTCAAATGGAAGTTTCATAGTTTGAAGAGAAATGTGATAAAATTTTTTGTAATATGCATTGTTTAAGAAGTATTAATATGATTAATAGGCACTCCTTTAAATGAAACCGTAGGATTCTTTTACATTTAATTCTCCTGCTATCTAAAAATGAAACAATGTATTATTACTAAAAAAACAATAAATATTTGTTGATGATTACATCAGTTATGTGTAGCAATAAAGTCACTGATTCACTTTAAGAGAATATTCCTTATATATAGACACAAATAATAAAATAATCTAATAGTTAACAATTTTTTAAGAGATTACATATTTTATTTTGACAAAATATTTTCTCGTTAATATCTTACTTTTTTATACATAGGAAATAAATGAACACAAGGAAATAAATGAAAATTTGATATAAAACAAAATATAATTGAATTTATAAAAAAGAACACACGTTACTGCGCATATTGTAATTAAAATAATTCATAGAGAGATAATATTTATATGTTTCAACTAATGATTTTTTTAAAAAGAAGAAAGAGAGAGATGAGAGAGACAGAGAGAGAAAGAGAAAGAGAGAGAGAGAGAGAGAGAGAGAGAGAGAGAGAGAGAGAGAAAGAGAGATGAGCTCTTGTATCATAAAAAAAATCTTCAATAAGTAATGTGAGTTAATAATAATTCATGGAGGATTCGTCGCGGTCAAATAATAAAACGTCCGTCGTCTGTGGTTTGAATTAAATATACAATATTCACGAGAACAGCTGAGACTCCGAAATCGATATATCTAGCGAAAAATAGAACTAGGTTTGTCCGAGTATGTCGCGATATTGTGAAAATATTATTGAATAAATATACACAGCTATTAGCAATTTTGTAATCAGAAATGTGTATTAGACTTATTATTAATAAAAATTAAAAATTAATACAAATTCAATAATAAGAAATCTGTAAATTTTATGTAAAACTTATTATCTATCTATCTACATACAGGGTGCTTGATAATTCTACAACACTCGTGAGAGTGTAAAGATAAAGCGAACTAAACTGAATCGAAAAGTTTTGTACCATTTTGCAATTTTCACGATAGTTAACAAGATATTATTTACTACCATAAAAATTGCTGAATATTGATTTTCAATAATTTTTTACTCAAATACTATCAACTTTATAGAAAAACAGCGAAAGACAAAAATTGTTTATTTTCTTCTCATAAGTTTTGAGAATTTTTTCAAAATTTTTTAATATTGTATTTTTTCATGTTGATAAAAATAACCTTTTCAAAAAAAGATTAAAAAAGGCCAAATGTGCGTGTACCTCCCATAAACCTGTAAAAACTGTTACATAAACTAAAAAAAAACCGTTACATAAGTAATATAATTCAAGTAATGGTAATATTATTAATTTTTTATTATAAATTGCCCCTCAGTAGTATGTATACATTAAAAAAAAATGAAATAAAATCTTTATATTGCGCCAATTGCAAAAAGAATACATATTTTCTTCCAACATATAACATATGCTAGTGCTTTGTAAATTGCGAAAAGAATATATATTTTATTGCAACATATAACATTTAATTAACGAGAAAAAGTGATACGTATCTTTATTTTTCTATTCAAGACGTTTTATATTTGCAGTGGAATACATTTAATCTCAAAAAATTAAAAACGAAGTATTACAATACTACTTAAGTTATATTATTCATGTGGTTTTTTTTATGTAACAGTTTTTTATGGGTTTATGGGAGGTACACTCACACTTGACGCCTTTTTTCACTTTTTAAAAGGTAATTTCACTTTTTTTAAAAGATAATTTTGTTGAGATATTACGCATTTTGTAGTGCTAAACATCTTATATGATTAATAATATATCTCTTCATATACAAGTGCGTATTTATAAGCGTTCCATTTCACGCATGATTATATCATTTTATTCTTGTTGTTCCGATTTATTAAAGAAGGATAAAATAATATATTAGGTGTAGTAAAAAGAAATCCATTATTTTTGCATGAAATTGAATGGAAAAATAATGGATTTGTTTTTACTATACCTAATATTTTTACTATACCTTATATGCATCATACATGAAACAGACTTTAAGTATCTGTAACAATATAAGTGAGAAACTGATTGAAATAGAGAGTTTAGAAAAGAGCCGCCAAGTAATCATATGACTCTATGGTTGGTTAGCGTAATTTTTGTTCCATGGTATGTTAATATTTATTAAGCTAAACCCTCCACCATCGAAAATCAAGTTCGGAATAGGAAAAAATTTAATGCTTTTTAGGCTAAACTAATTTAGTACTCTATTCCGAATTTTAATGCTTAAACTGTTTAGTAGCATTAAAGAAAATGGAGACGAGGAGTCCAACTTATAATGGCAAGTCCCCATAAAAAAAAATATATATACATGTGACATATACATATAAAGCGTTTTGTCCATTAAGCTACTGTTCACAATGTGAATATTTGAAATTTTTTGATTCTATTTTGGAGCATTAAATTAGCGTTAAAAATCTCTGTGTACTTATTTTTTATATACGTGCATTGTATATATATTTTTTATGGAGGAGGGGTCCAGCTTGCTATTAAATCCTGGATAGCTGGACCCATCTATTTTTTTTATTGCTGCTAAACGGTTTGAGCATTAAAATTCGGAATACAGTACTAAATTAGTACTAAAAAACATTATATTTTTTACTATTACCTATTCCGAACTTGATTTTCAATGATGGAGAGTCCAGCTTAATAGACGTTCTCAGCTAAGTTCTTTAAATTATACGGATGAACATGTTCTCTCTCTCTCTCTCCCTCTCTTTCTCGCGCTTGCTCTTTCTCTGTTTGTCTCATGTACATAAATTACACCCGTATACGCATTAAGGCACTTTTGTTGCTAATTTTACACTAAATTTTAATTTTAACTTTAATTTTATATTAAAATTAAAATTCTATGAAGGCATTGTAAACAGCAGCTTAATGGACAAAACGCTTTATATGTATATGTCACACGTACGATTGAAAAAATTTGACAAGCTGAAATGATTCCTTTTTTGGGAAACGATCTCCAGATCTCGGTATCAGCATATATCTGTACCAATTTTATTCAGACTGGCAATCGAAAGATACCGATGACATTGTATAATAAAAGTGTTTTTAGATTTTTGATTGCGGCTTTCTGAGTAATTTTAATATAAAGTTTGTTGATGTCAAAACTCCAGATAAAACTAATGGTAGCGTTGCCAATTTGATAACGACATGAATATATATACACAATGACGTTCATACGTTAATTAATCAAAGCCCGTCTTATATTTTTATACACTTTTAATTTAAAAGTAACTTATTAAAGTAACTATACAGTCAACATGTACAAATGTCAACATAAATGTAAACGTAATAACAGTATTAATGAAACTATAGATAAATAAATCGATAAATGAGAGCAATAAACAAGTGCCATCTATCGTTGAAAATATGAAAAAGAAATGTTTTTTTGAGGCGATAACGTATCTTATGTAAAAATTTTGATATTTCGGATTTCGCATCACAATATTTCCGTTTGTAGGACATATAGAGGTAAAATAAACGCTTATATGATATAATTCGGATCCAAGCTATCGATTGAGCTCATTTAGAATTCGATCCATCCAGCCTTTATTAAAAAACCGATAATTTTGCTTTTAATTCGCTGACCCGCGTAAAAAACATAAGGTGATCTCGTGCTGTGCGGCCACTTGGTGCGAAACACTATCTTGTCTCTTGATAGTTGTCAATAAGAAAATGCAGTACTAAAAAGTTGATAAAAAATTCTAAAAATATTCTTGAGAAGAAAATAAACAATTTTTGTCTCTTGCAATTTTTCTGTAAAGTTGATAGTATTTGAGAAAAAAATTATTGAAGACCAATATTCGGCAATTTTTAGTAATTAATACCTTGTTAACTATTGCAAAATGGTACAGAACTTTTTGACTCACTTTAATCCGCTCTACGACAAGCGTTGTCGGCAGAATTATAACATCATATATTTACATTTTTGTAAATGTAATATTTACATTTTTGTAAATGTAATTTTAATCTTCTTCTAAAAAATTTATAATGTAATTTTACATAAATTTTTATTTGGCTTTATATTATCTTATAATTTATAATAAAAATTTTTATAATTTAATTTTTATAATTTTCTCACGATTTCTTAAGAATATATTACTTTGTCGTGACCGTGAATAATTCGACCTAACCATATAATCATCTATTTCTAATCAAAAGATTTTTTTTAATTCTCAATTGACAGAAATATAACAGAATTTGAATTGTTACAATAAAAATTTCTTCATCAATGTTACTTTCTCATTTTGTTTAAATTCATAATATCATTATTATGCAAAAATCTTCCTATTAAGTTCATTCTATAAATATTAAAACTATAATACAGAATGGGCATGTAACTATTATCACTCATAATTCAATATAAATAAAAATATTATATCATAATATAAATTTATGTAATAAAAAAAATAATACATTCACAAGAATAGAATGTAATAGGAATTTTTTAAAAATAATATAATATAAATGTTAAGAATAGGACCGACAAGAATAAATTTAAATAAATACGAGAAATCAGGTGTATAAGCTTAAATCCGCTGTTTGCTCATAGGTGGCATTAGTGAGCGTACAAAGCTACCCTGGGCACACAACATACTTTTTTTATATGTTTGACTTCTGTCAACATTAACCAGTGTACATCATCAGCAATTTCATACAACAACATACATTTTTTCTTTCATAATCATGTCTAGTTTTTGCTAAAAAAAAAAAGCATATGGGAAGCTTTGCTTTTCTGTTTCAATTTGAAGAAATCGGCTGCCGAATCGCATCGAATGCTTGTGGAGACCTATGGCGACAATGCTTTATCGGAAACAAGAGATTAGTTTCGCTGGTTCAATGACGACAATTTTGACCTGAGTGACAAGAAGCGTGAAAATCGGCTCAGGAAGGTTGAGGACTATCAATTGTAGGCTCTTTTGGACGAGGATGATACCTAATCGCAAAAAATGCTTGCCGAGCAATTGGGTGTTTCTCAAGCAGCCATTTCATGCGGCTACATGCCATGGGGAAGGTTCAAAAGATCGGAAAATGGATGCCACATGAACTGAACGATAGGCAGATGGAGCGGCGACGCCAAAACACAAATTCTGCTTGCTAGACAAAAAAGAAAGTCGTTCCTGCATCGGATTGTGACAGGCGATGAAAAGTGGATCTATTTTCAGAATCCTAAACGCAAGAAATCTTAGGTTGATCCCGCCCAACCATCAATATCTTCCTCAAGACCAAATCGCTTCGAACGGAAGATGCTGTGCGTTTGGTGGGATCAAGAGGGTGTCATCTACTACGAGCTGTTAAAACCTGGTGAAACTGTTAATGCTCACGACTACCACCAACAACTGATCAAATTGCACCGTGCTCTGCGTGAAAAAAGGCTGCATTATCGGAAAAGACATGACAAGCTGATTTTCCTCCACGACAATGCATCATTGCACACGTCAACAATGATCCAAAACTACTTGGAGACACTCAACTGGGAAGCGCTACCCCAGAAGGGAAGTGCTATCCCGCTTACTCACCAGACCTGGCACCTTCTGACTATCACCTGTTTTCGTCGATGGGCCACGCGCTTGCTGAGCGGCACTTCGATTCTTACGAAGACGTCCGAAAATGGCTTGAAGATATATATA